TATATATAAGATTATAAATCTTCATTAATGAAGTTTTTGTAATCTCATTACGTCATTCCTCTTAGTTCGAATCTCAGGCATAAATATTACAATACGAATTAAATTAAACATTACGAATACTGATAGAGATGATATAATAAAATAAAATACTGAACTAAGAGACAATGCTTTAAATTTAATAATTAGATTATGTTTACCTTTTGAAAGTATTGATCAAATGTTTACACGATTAAACGTTATCATTAAAGGTAACATGGAACAATTTTTAACATAGTTAAATGAAGTAATTCACATTTCTTAAGATAACAAAATAATTCTAATATACGAATGATTTTCGACGTGTTTAAATCTTATCGTTTGATCTATAAAGATATACATACATACATACATACATACATACATACATATATATGTAAAATTCAGAGGTAGTATTTTCAATTGTCAATAATGTCAATGACAAATTATCAATATTCATTGATCATTGACATCATCATTATCATCACCATTCGTCATCCGTATCTTTCTCTATATATCGGGATTTTCTTTTGTCTACTTTTTTTTTTTTTTTTATTATTTTTTATCTTTTATTTCATTCCTTTAGTCTAACTTCGAATGTACGTATTTTCTTTCATTCTTTTGTGTTCTACTTGGTTGAATTATTAATTTGTAGGGAAAAGTTGTTCGTAAGTGAAATTACTGACAATACCATTAGCTATTTCGCGGAATGCATCGGACAATGCTTTCTCGACGAACGGTTGCATTTCCGATAGGAAAGCATCGAAATTGCTGTTTATTGCGTTATTGATTACATCACCGAGAACCTTTTCACCGCCAAAAAGATTTTCGAAATTTATTGTACCCTTGCCAACTGTTATTTTCATTGTAAAATCATTGATGAAAACTTCATGCTCCCCGTTAGGTAATTCTTTCGTTCCACCACGTATTTTGACCGATCCGGTGCATTGGGTGAAATTTCCAGTCATTGGTCCGGATCCTTGAATTGGTAAAAGTAATACTCTCCCATTGATATCGTAATTTCCTTTGATGTGTAAGTGCGGTAATTTGATCTCCAATGCGAATTGCAAATTGTCGAAGTCTGTCCTATTATTTTGTTTTTTTTTTTTTTTTTTTGGAAAAAAGAAAAGTATATGTTAATATAACTTGTTCGTTGATTTTTGTCAAAGGTAAATAAAGGTAATTATTGATTTGTTTTATCTCTTTTTTTTTTTTTTTTATCGAATAAATTTGTATTCCCTTTTTGTTTTTTTTTTCTTTTTTACGGATTATACTGAAAGATAATAATATGAGTCTTTTTTTATGTTTTAGAATGGAATATGTTAATGTAATGTATAATATTATGTTTGTTTATTTTACAGTCAAATTGATTTTTTCTTAAGGATTCCTTCTTGCTGACTATCTTAATGTCTCTGAATTATCGAAACAGGGGAAAAAAAATACCATTATTGAAACATGAATCATCAAAAAATCGGGTGCTAATTTATTTATATATCGTTAAATAATTTTTGAAGGAACTGATATTTTATTTCTCTTTTTTTAGAATTTTACTAGGAAAGAGAGATAAATTTTGTAATTTTTTTGGACAATGAAACTGAATACTTCAAAAGTATCGAAAATAGAAATGAAGATTTGATTTTTTCGAACTTGGATACTCAAAATCAGATATTAATTTGTTACGAATAGTTCAATCGTTTTAAAATGATTCATATATTTTATTCTTTTTATTTTTTTCAAATTAAACTATTAGACAATTTTTCTAATTTTCTTGGACAATCAAAAAATGAATGTTTCACAATTGATGAGACAAGAAAAGAAGATTTAATTCTTGGAACTTCTTAGATAATTAGATATTAATTTGTTATTCACGGTGCAATGAATAATTCGCAATAAATTCACACTGACTAGTTATATATTCTTTTGATTTGTTTTTTTTTTTTAGAATTATTGTAGTTGACAATGAAAATGAATACTTCAAAAGTATTAAAAAGAAGAAAAGATTTGATTCTTGGAACTCTTGGATAATTAAAATCAGGTACTAATTGGCTATGAATTGTTCAATTATATTAGAATTAACTATCATTTTTCAGAGTAATGCTAGTTGAAATGATCTTTGTAATTTTCTTGAACACTGAAAATGAATACTGCAAAATTATTGAGACAAGAAGTGAAGATTTGATTCATGGAATATGCATAATCAAAGTTAAACGCAAAATTTTATTAATGGAAAATAATGTTAAAAAGTTTCCAAAAAAAAAAAAAAAGCAAAGATTAAATTTGAGGAACATTGATTACCAAATTTCAACACAGGTTTCCCATGAGTCAAAATACCAGAATAGTTTAAAATGATCTATAATGTATCAATATCTTAATATTTTTAAACAATGAAAATAAACACTTGCAATTAAAAAAAAATATGTACATAGTCATTCGAAAATTATTGAATAACAATATTTGAAAATGCTTGGACGAATATCGTTACTTAAAAAAAAAAATATGTAAAAATATCCAAGAGAAACGAAAATAAAAAAATTAGATTCAAGGAGGACTAAAATGTGATACAAATTTGATACAAATCTAGAACTAGGAGAATCGTTTGTTGACCTTTCCACAATTACGTGTCCGGCACGATAAATGAACTCACACGAAAGTAGGAAAAAAAGAAGAAAAAAGAAAAAGAAAAGAAATCAAACAGGATATTTTTTGGATGAATCATGACGTAACCGTCGAACAAACAGGAAAGTTGAAAAAAGTAAAAAGGAATAAATAAAATCAAGATCACGAGGAAAGATAGTTTCTAGGTCAACAAGAGTTTTTTTTTTTTTTTTTTCTAATGGTCATATCCGTTGGTCTTCACTATTTTATTATCTATCAACTATTATCCTCCTTTTTTTTATTTTTCTTTCTTTTTCTTTCTATGTTTTTTCTTTTTTTCCGTTAAGTTACAGGTAACAAACAAGCATACGCGTTTAGTAACATAACAATTGTTTTCGAATTCGCGTTTCAAGCACTCGTGTCACGGTCTTACTCGATACCATAAACGGAATATAAATTAATCTTGCTTTCCCGGATTGGAATGATCAATCTATGTAATTATATTGATTTATTTTTATTTTTATTTTCTTTTTTTGCTATTATAAAATGTCAGCGATGATCACTCGTGCGAAACTAGCGAATCACTGAATGAAACGTTACGTTTAAATCGATTTATCTGGTTTAATCGTTTATGTAATATAGTTTTATTATTATTATTATTATTATTATTATTTCTTTTTCTTTTTTTTTCAAATAAGATAGGAAACGATAGTTCGTCGTAATATACAAGTATATATACAATTATTTTAACTTATTTCCTTATTGTTCATTTAATTCATTGTTTTTCTATCAAATATCCGTAACCATTGAAATTACAGCCGAACGTCTTCGATTTTACACACACAGTGTTTTTTTTTATAATACTTATTAAAAAATAAAAACAAAAAAAAAGGATAGGATAGAGAGACTGTAATATTTGTTCGTTTATCTGTCTCTCTTGAACAACTTTATTTCACTTATTTTTTTCTTTTTCCAATCAAATTCTAGCAATCATTGAAATAATATTTAAAAAATTATACACACAAAAATCCTTTACAAATGAATTTATCTGACACATGTTTTTTCACTTGGTTTTGTTTCTTTTTTAAATTGCTTTTCTTTTAAATATTAATAGCAATTTAAATAATAATGAGAATGTAAAGAATGATCCTGTGTAACATTTACATATGTTAAATCTTCTTTGTTATTTAATATTTAAAAAAAAGAAAAAACAATATTCCAACATGACAACTTTTGCTATTTAATTATTTTACACAATAAAAAGACTTACCTTCGTATTCAGAAAATCATTCGCATTAACGTAACAATAAAATAAAATAAAATAAAAATACCAATAAAACTCGTATGAAATTATTAATGAATATCGAATAAAAAATTTTCTAAAAAAAACAAGACGAAAGTAAATTATAACAAAAAATAAAAAAATTAAAACGAATGTCTAATGCTCCGTTTAAAAAAATAAAACAAGTTCATTGATCGTTCGTAATTGTTTGAACACGTTTTCATTGTTACTCGTTTTGCAGGTTAATAAAATATATCACATAGATGACTGTACAAAAGGTATCGAGTAATTCTTCTTGTTATTATTATAATTATATTAATTCACGTGATTAACAATAACGGGAATTACGATAAAGATAACATATTCAAATGATCTAACTATGCTGTAATACGATCCCCGCTCTTCCCCATTAAACAGTAATTTCTGACTTCCTGCATTCGTAATCTTTTATTAAATATTCAATATCGTTTTTACATTTTTATAGTTCGGGTTCCATCGGATTCCAAATAAATGCCAAAAATTTCCATGTATCCTTCGAGATTAATTTTTAAAATAAAAATACAAATTATAAAATAAAATAAAATAATATTCTTTTCTCTGTATTTAGAAACGATATTGAATTTTTTTTTCTTTTTCTTTTCGTAATATACAATTCTTTTTATATATATATATTTTTTTTTTAATACTATAAGATTATTTTAAATAATTATTCCAATGTTTTATTATCTTTTGCGTTAAATTTTTATATAACAATGAAGATTCTATTCTATTAAGCAAAAAAAAAAAATAAAAAAAGAAATTATCTTTTAATATTAAACAGATAAATAAACAATCGTTGACTAATGAATTAGAATCAGCTGTCGTGTGACAGATTTATAATAAAAATTCATGAGGAATATATATTCATACGTAATTTATTGTTCAAGAATGCTTCTTGAAAACAATAATATTATATAATCGTAATAAAACGTGTTATGTTTTTAATCGTTCATGATTTGATTGAAATTCGATAGAATCATAACTTACTTCAAATCGGTTATGGTGAAATCACTGGCACCATAGGCTTCTACATCCTTAGCATTTATCCTGAGACCAGCTTTCTCGGTAGAAATTAAGTTTTTCAATAAAAGTGGTTCCAATGACGGAATGTTGTACTCTGGTACACCTTTTTGAAGATATGGCTTTAAAGATTCGACACTTTCAGTGACGCAAGAAACGATATTGGGATCGTTACGTTTGCATACGTGAATGAAATCAGCTGAAAGAAATAAAATTATTAATTAAGGAAATATATATATATAAATTGATGAAATTTTATACAGGACTAATATAAGCGGAATAAAATTTAAAAATTAATTATTTTTTAGCATAATAATATTAACAAACAATTATAGTTACTAAAAAAGTGTAATGAATTTAATATTCCGTACAAGTTGAAAAGATAAGATAATCTAATGTGCATAATTTAATTTCAAAAAATTACAAAATAAAAAAAGGAAGATGAATTTAAAATGTGTTATAATATAATTGTTATAAAATTTAGAATTATTTTATTTTGTAAAACCATGTCCATTTACTGGGCCAACAGGGTGTAAATAAATAAATGATCTATTAACCTGTGTTAACAGTTGCTATTTGAAAGAAAAATTTCCTAAAATTATATATTGTAGTCTAAATTTAACGAATAAAAAAAAAATCTTATGCAATTTGTAAAATAAAAAAGAATTTGAATGTGTGTCGTCTTTTCATGAAAAATGTGAGATACAACTTTAAGAAATATTTGAAATTAAACATTTTCACCTTACTCCTATATCCTTCAATAATGCAACAATTAAAATAAAACAAGGATTTAATTTAGAAAAAAAAAAAAACAAAAATTATTAAATAAATAAATTAATTTAATATATAATTTCTTTTGTACTCACGTAAATCCATCGATTGGCCAAAATCGAAGATCGTAGGGAACAAGATTAAATTGAATAAGAACAAAACGTAACACTTCATGATTAATATATCTGATATATAAGAAAAATTGAAAATAAAAATATAAAGATTGGAATAAAGAATATCCTTTTGAATGAATTTAATAAAAGGAAACACAAATCACGAATGGTTCTCGGTTGATGCTCGGACTCGAAGTGAATAAGAGTGAATCGTGCGTGAACCTTATAGTGGTATACTTCTCCTCCCCCCGGTCCTCACCATCCACCATCTACCATCTTTGAGTTATTCAAAATTAGTCAGAGTTACAGTCACTGAAACAATTGTCTACCACATTATACCATTACACTCATATATCACACACCTATATATCAATGCATTTATTTTTTTATACATACATATACAGATATAAAAAAAAATATATATATATATGTATATGTATATGTATATGTATATATATATACTTAAGTGTACCTATACTACACACACACACACACATAAATATTTACTATTCATTTATTTTGTCCCCTACTTATTTACACTTATATATCCTGCACACCCGCACACATGCATGTCTATATATTAATCATAAATTTATAAACGTGTGTGTGCACGCGTATACGAAGGTTACTTCTTTTAGATTCAAAGTCAAGGATATTCATTGAAAAGAGAGTTGTTGAGAAGAGAGGGATGATAAAAAAAGATAAACCACTAAACATGTATAAACCGCACTATGTTAATTTGTTAAACGCTTAAAGTTTAACATTGACCTTTTAAACTTCTTATTATTATTGGCAGATTCTTTAAGATACTTTTTCTTCTTCTTTATTTTCCACTCTCTCTTTCTTTTTTCTTTTTTTGTTTCTTTTATTTCTCTTATGTTAATAATCTACGACCTGTACAGGTAAATATAATCATCGGTAAGTATACTTATACATACATTTATACAAATTAACTGTGAGAATTGTTCTTGAATGGAATAAAATTGAAAAATTTTTTTTTTTTGTTAACAAACAAAAATATTAAAATCTAATTTAGTTTTTTTAATTTTCTTTTAATATAATAAATGAAAATATTATCGTGAAAAAATGTGGATTACATTTTTTTGACATAAATAATCGTCTCTATACACATTTGATTGAAAATAATACAAAAAGTGAACTAAATAAATTAATAATTTGTTTTATCTTGGAATATATATATTCAAAGAATGAAATATAAAGAAAGTATATAAATAAATGATTGAATATTGAAGGTTTTGTAAATTACCTGATGATCTATAATCTAAAATTGATTCTACGATACTTGCTTTAATATTTTGATGTTCCCCTTTTATTTGTCAGAATTATCATACAGATTAACATTAAATAAAAATAAAACTAAAAGAAAAAAAAAAAAAGCAGTAATGATATAGACTTGCTCTTTTTTTCGCAAAAAAATAAAGACAAGAAAATCCATCTACTTTGATATAACCTTGTTATAATTATAAGTTAACATGTAAGAAAATGGAAACATATCTTCTAATAATTTATTTATTTATGCAACTTTACACACCGGCTTCGCCGCGTATCGATGATCGTTTAAAGTTTTGTAAAAATCACAGTAACTCAAGTGAGAAATGTATTTTCTTGAAATGAATAAAAGAACGTAAACGGTAACGAAAAAATAACGTATAAATAACATCCGATTATTATTTATTAATCGCATGTATATTTGTAAGAAATGTAAGAAATTCGAATGCCGAGGAAAATGGAAATAAACAAATTAATTTTTGATTGTATTTTTCAAACATTAGAAGTTAAATTAACAACGCGTCTATATCAATTTATTCATTGTGTATGAACGTATGACGTTAATTTAACCTTTACTTCTTATACACAGAACATATATGCATTAAGAATTTTAATAAAAAACGTGAGAGGTGTATTAATTATTATATATATATATATTTATAAATATTGATGTGTAAGCATGTGACATTTAACATTACCACGAAGAGTTTAAAAGAAAAACAAAAGGACAGATCTACATCAAGGAAAATCAAAAGGAAGAATAGATTATAAGAACAATGAATAATTTTAAATCATGCAACACATTGGTATATATACTTATCCTTAAAATTTATCTATATATATCTAATAATCGATTTGAAATCTATCGAACAAATAAATTTGAATAATATATGCAAATTTTACTTTTTTTTCTGCATTAAATCGCAAATATCTTATCTACAATGTTAATTTATGTCCCTGGAACAACAATATTCTAAATATCCTTGATAAGAAATTATTCACTAGAAGAAGATAAAAAGAAACAAAAAACTAGGATGGTAAAACACAAAGATCAAGAGAGTATTCTTGAATAAAATTAAGATTATTTTGAATTTACCCCATTACCGTTCAATCTTTCCTTATACCTGAAATTGAAATCAGTTATTGATGTTTATCGTTAACGTATAACGTAAAATAATAATCTAATTCAGTGGTTGAATGTATTAAAAAAATAAATAAAATTAGAATAGAAGTTTTATAATAGAGAAAGAAAATAAAAAATAAATATTTTTATATTGTTATACATTTTAAATTTCATTAATTTGGCGTATGACCATTATTTACAAAATATTAATTAATAATCTATCGTAAGAAAGAAAAGAAAGTATCCGTTATATTATGAATAAACTAAATACAAATTTGAAGATCTTCCATTAAATTTCATAAATATGATATTATTACCATTATTTGCAATATTAATTTATATTGAAAAGAAAATGTAAAAAAGGAAATATAAGTTTATAAAGTATTAAACGTTTTAATTGTTCCGATTACTTTCAGTTCAAAATTGAACATTTCATACTTAATGGTCTAACATTTGTGTTTTATCCTGTAATCAAATTAATATAATTTTTAATTTATCCTATTATTATAAATTAAATTTTTAATTATGCTTAAATGAATAATAAATACTACTTATTGATTGTGTATAGCATAATAGAATTTATAATCGTAAGTGGATAAGAGAAAAAGAGAAAAAGGGAGAGAGAGAGAGAGAGAGAGAGAGAGAGAGAGAGAGAGAGAGAGAGAGAGAGAGAGAGATAGAGAAAAAATTAAAGTATCTACTAAGTTAAAATTGTTATTCTACAGGTCAAAAAAGTCGACGAAGTTATCAACAATGTGACGTAATAATGCTATTGCATAATGCATCAACTTACATCCTCATCCGGAAATAAAAGCCAAGAGCAAGCAAGCAAAAGAATTGTTGGTTTCGAACATTCTAAATTATCAGCAAAGAAATTATCATAGGAATGGATGCTTCTTCTTCTCCTTTTTTTTTTTTTTTCTTTAATTCAGCGTTTCTCAACTCAATATTGTTTTTTGTTTTTTAGTTATTTATTTATTTATTTTTTTATCAAAACCCTAATACATTTTTCTTTTTGGTACAAAAAAAAGAAATTATTTAATTATATTTTTATAGATAGTTAAGAATGATGTTGATAACAAAACGAGATATAATAATAATAATAATACGAGATTTTGTTCTTTTTAAATAGCAAAGAGGAAATATAAAAATATATTGTATATTAATGACAAGAAAATTCTAAGTGAAAAGGAAATAATTCTATAGAAAATTATGTTAAAAATACGACCGTGACTGAGCTGCATTTTATTAAGAATTTGAAAAAAAAAAAAACATATAATGAGAACATTCTGAAAATTTCTTACTAATTAATTATTTTCCTCATACTGCGATCCTCTATGAATCATTTTATTTTAAGAACTCAAGTATAAATAACTAAATTTTGTGTTCATGTAAACATAAAAATTGTAGATTCTTATTTAACCTTTTAGGCAAGACGCATCACTATAGTGGCTCACTCGAATAGCTCACTAGCTCACCGTTTAAATTAAATAATCGTCTTCATATGTATTCATATTTAAGTGAAATGTTAAAGTTTAAGAGTATGTGTGCATTATATATTTTTAAGAAAAATAATTAGTAAAAATTATTAGTATCTAAAAGATTAAAAAATAAGTAGAATTATTTGGATTAATGAGCTTGAAGTTTTACAACAAATTAAAAAAACAATAAATGTTATAATATTTGTCTTTAAATATCACATAACTTTTATATAAAACAATTTGTATGTGTGTGTGTGTTGAAATAATAAGCTGCTTACACTTTATTGTAAAAATCAAGTAGGTATTATGATATAGTATAATTATACTATAATAAATATAGCTTGTGTGTAATAAGACTTAAAGTAAAGAAAAAATTAAGAACATTATAAAGTCCGTGTATATCGTGTATGTATCATTAAAATTAATGATACGGTAATGAAATGAATATCGATTTAAAAAATACAAATAGATTCATAAACGTGTGATTCGTAATTACCATGATTTTACAGAATATTAGAAATTCATTTTATTAATACACAATTTTATTGTGAATTAGATGAAAAAAGCTATCTACGATTAGTATCACGAAGTGTGACTTGATGATAAATTACTTTCCTCGTAATAACGTAACTCTAGCAACTATCATTTGTATGAGATCTCATTAAAGAGAAACAGTATTAGAATATTTGAATATTAGATCATTGTAAGTTGAGAAATGCTGTTTTATTTTCATACTCGAGCAACGGGTAAAAAAGATTAGCGTATAAAATACGTAACATATCGATTATATTTTAATCCCGATCGATTTTTACGTGCTATTATATATGAATCAAAGATAAAATCATCCTAAATGATAATGTATTGAAAAAACTAAGAGACCTCGGTCAATATTTCCTTCTATTTTTCTTTTTTTTTTCTATTCTTATATATAATCACCCATTAATTTTTATTATTAACGATTAGTGTTATTATACGCGATATAAATTAATTGTTATTGCAGTTTGTAACAGTCTGTTCAATCTGTTCATTTTCAATAACAACTTCTCAATTTTTAAGAATCTACTTGAAACATCGAATTATATATTCAACCAAAACTGTCTAATCTGAGATTACCAATCTCCTGTTCTGTCAGAATACAAGAACATGTAATTCTTTGTCTTGTAATCGCTCGTACGTTTTATAATGGTAAGATATTATTTAACAACAACCGGCTATTCGAGTCTAGATGACATTCATTTATTCTTCATCTTCTTCTTCTTCATCTTTATCTGTCATCTCTCTCTCTCTCTCTCTCCCTTTTATAAATGAGCCAAGGAATCTTACAGTTTTCTACGTCTATCACTCAAGATTGAATTTGGCAAACACACGATGACAAAAATTCTTCTCTTTTCTTTTCTTATTTTGCTTTTTTTTTTTTTTTCTTTTAATGTTTTAATTTTCAATTTTATTATCCTTGTGGAAAAATATAAATGGGATATAAGACACACAAAATCGGTAGGAAGTATAATAAAATGAAGATTAATTAGATAGTTAAGAATATATAATTCTAAAGAATTTTTATAAGAGACAGATTCGTAAATGAATATCAATTAGACAGATTCGTAAAAATAATTTCAATATATTTACTGTTTGAAATAAATTAAAATATAAAAAAGTATTAAAATCGTGCGAATGTAATATTCTTTTAATTGAGAACTGAAGAGAACATTTTTTATAGAGGCACATTATATTTTTATTTTTATTATCGTTGAATAAAAAAAACTTAGTGAAGGGTGGAGGGAGGAGGGAGGAGGGGGAGGGGGAGGGGGTAGAAAGATAGAAACAAAAATCGATGCAAAGTAATACAATAAAGATATATTATCGATAGTTAACGATTATTCTAACGAGTACAGTAAAATGGCACGTAAAAATAATGAACGAAGATTATCCTTTTCGTATAAATTCAGTATAAAAACTATTAAAACTCTTGCCACGTGAATGTATTCTTTTAATCAATCAGTTGATGAGAATTTTTTCCAAGGTTCCTCTCATTTTTATGTTTATTGTTTCATATTTTTTTGTATTATTATTATTTCTTTTTTCTTTTTTTTTTGTTTATTAGTAGTTTGAGATAATCCAAACGATTTCAGTAAAATAAACTCGTAAAAACGAATTGGAAGATGCATAATTTCGTATCGATTAAAAAGTATTTAAAAAAATTAGCTATGCGAATTTGATACAAAGAGAATTTGTTCAAGGTTCAACGTTCTTAGTTTTAGCACGTATCTTTTCATTCGAAGGACACATGCATCAACTTATCAATTAATGTTCAAGAACTACGTTTCTTTTGACATTTGATCATTATTTTTTTTTTTACAAACACATTGATATATTCTCCATCTCTACCATTGATTATTGATTTATTAATTTAAGAGAACTCATCTCTCATTGACGTCTATAAAGCTTTGACGTTCGATGATATCATTATTAATCTTTTTTACAAAAACATATAAGAGACATAGAGTTGATTGAGATTATTGAATATAATGATAAATAAATTCAATGACAAAATAAAAATTTATATCAAAAATTGCAATTTAGATAATAAAAAAAAAAAAGAAATGAAAATTCAAATTAAAGAGAAATTATTTGAAATTAAAAATGTGTGTGTGTGTGAGATGAATTCATACAGAGAAAATTATTTGCAATTGAAATTGATCTGTATTATAAATAAAAAATTAAACTAATTCGCGAATAGTTATTGTGTATTAATATAATGAATTATAATAAAAAGTTTAAAAATTTTTTGTTGATAATAATAAATTAATTCGATGGCAATTAAAATCAACAAAATATCTCAAAAATATTTACTTTTTATTTATGTTGAAATAAAAATTGCAATTATAGATATTTTGTAATTTGTTTTAATTTTGTTCATTAATGAATTACAAAAAAAGGATATTTGAAATTGTTATAATTATAATAATTCGTTGTAATAACGCTTGACAATATTCTTACTTAAATGATACCAACTTGGAATAAAAATTTGATCAAAAATATGATAAAAGTATCAAAACGTGAAAATCATATAAAAACATTTCAGACAATACCGTCACGTAGGGATATAAAATTAGTTCTATTATAAATTCTAATAAGTTCCACGAATTTTACCACATAGTACATATAGTGCATATCTCATAAGAGATCTTATTATCTGGCCAAAATAAATGACGTAATTTGTTAAATAAATACACAATTGTACAAAAACAAAAAAAAACAAAGAAACATAAAAATACCTTATTTCTAAACAATCCAACGAGTTTTCTTACTTTTTATCTGCACAATGTGAACAAAAAAAAATGTAATAATTATGTACAATACGCGTAACATATAATTTAACGTTAATATAACAAAATAAGAAGAAGAGAAGAAGAAGTAGAAGAAGAATAAGAAAAAAAAGTAATAAATTTTTAACTAATCGATCTATCTACACGATCAACAAAACGATTAAAAAAAATGGCTAAGATTCAAATCGTCAGAAGACTGAGTTAGTTTTAAAAAAATCATTGTTAACAAAAATATGTTCCCAAATCATTTGTACCGGTAATTATGACTGTAAACTTTATATAAAAAAAAAAAAGAAAAGATATTAATCATTCTTATATATATTTTCTTTTTTAATTTAATTAATAAATAATAATCTAAAAGAGATCAAAAAAAAAGAATGATATTTTTCAATTTAATTTATCCATTATACTGGCATAATTAACGGCACATTATGATAAACCCAAATACTGGCAAAACTCTTTTTTTTTCTTTCATTTAATTAATAATAATAATTATTAATTAAACGAAATATATTATTATCATTATTATTAATATAATATTTTCTTTCTTTTCCCTCAAAAATCATATTTACGTAGGCATATCAACTATACGAATACGTTAGCGAACAAATAAAAAAAAAAAAACATTTACATAAATGCGTGCTTTTTTCTCTTTTTAAGTAGCAGTCTTTGATGATCGAAAATATATATATATATATAAATACGATCAAGAATATAATCGTCCTATTTATTCCTTGATCCAAGCATCGTACGGTACTTGTGAAAATATTTTCTCGACGAAACTCGACATTACTTGGACCAACTTTCTTCTCAAATCTGGTTTCATTTCTTTTAACAATTCTTGACTGTTGCTATTAATAAATAAATTCAATGCGGCTTCTAAAAAAAAAAAAGAACAAAGTTTTAATATAACATTTATTCTTCCAAAAAAATAAAAATAACAGGAAAATATAAGAAGAACAAAATAAAATTATACTTACGTAATATAGTATTGCCATCGTGTACATTTTCAACTCCCATTTTAATATTTTGTACACTAAAGTCCATTTTTAATTGTTGCAACCTCAAAAAACGACGACCTTGATTAACATATGGTTTCGCCCTGATAAATACTTTGGCTTTAACTCCCTCTGTAAAAAAAAAATAACGGCATAAAAATATTTATGAGTTAAGATCGAAAATACAGCGGTGTATATCGGGTTGCCTGTCGACAGGCGTAGATTATAATTCATAAAATAATTCTAAAACACTCTCTTTCTGATAAAATTCTAAATGAGTGTCTATAATTTTCAAAACGAGAAGATTTAATTTCTTATTAGATTTAATTGAATAACAATAAAAATTTAAGTAAACAAATTTTCTAACGTTGAAGGTGAAAGTTTGAATGGTTGGCAACTTTTACTTAAAGTTTATTTTACATTTTATAATCACGTAAGTATTAGTTGGATATTCAAAGTAAATATAGAATATATAATTAGTATATATTAAAAAAAGAAATCATTTAGAATAATTATTAGAAAAACAAACTACTTTCTATGTATTTTCAATTTCTTTTGTTCACACGTATTATTATTAGAAAATTGTTTAATTAATTAATATTGAAAAAGAAAAAAAATTGATTTAATTTTAATATTTGATATTTAAATATATAAAATGTTAATGTGTGTAAAATATATGACCCGTATAAAATTAATGTAAAATATTTTATACATTTTTTTGTATTGTTATTATATATCATAAATAAATAGAAGAAAAAAAAATAATACCATAATTTCCCCAATAATCTCCAGCACCGCTAGCCTGTACAAGAATAAGTGTGCCACTTGACCTATACTTTGCATCAGCCCTAATTTTAGGAATACTGAGAACTAGTTGCAATTGTACTTCATCATCTGATAATCTTGCTCTGAAACCAGTAACTTTGAGCGATGAAACTCCTTTTGCATGAATATCCATAAATTGAGCTTTGTATCCATTAGGACCACCTCCGAGAGCTATATGAAGTTCGTCTAAAATGATTGGTTCAACCTCGGGATACCCTAATTGTGGTAGACCTGTAAAAATATAAATAACAAATGAAATTAATAAAAATACACTAAAATTAACAAATAAGTGAGAAATAACAAAAAAACTTCACAATGGAGTATACAAATTCATATTCTTCGGGTACTACACAGTGCCGTACAAAGTAATTGGAATGTAGGACAACAAGTGACCATTCGAATTCACCGTTATAACCTGCTTCCGCTAACAAAGCAACTCTCATCAAGTTTTCTGCACGTGTATCAATCAATTACAATGAAAATGTTATTTTAAATAGTATTCAAACTTCTCTTACAAGATGTCCTAACTTTCTAACCATTATCATATTTATTTAAATCACACAAATCCATAAACGAATAAATATATATCTTCCTAACTATTTGCTCATGCAAATAATATAAAAAGAAAACTTAATAACAATGATAAAACAAATTTAAATATAGAAATATCATATATACACAGATAAGAATACGAATTGAAATAAAAATTAAATAAATAAATAAATAAATAATATATAAAAATCTTTCTTACCATTTCGAAAATGTTCAGCGAGAACATTGGCAGATCTGCCAAGACAATTTTCCAAATTAGGATCAGTTTTAGAGCAAGATTCTAAAAATTCAAGGCCGCGATATTTTCCAATAGCATCAACTAAACTAAATAAAATCGAGCATAGTATAAACACGTATGCGAGTACACGAGGATTATTTATTTGAATCATTATTTCGATTATTTTCTCACTTAGATCTATTAAGTGATAATTTAATAATAGCCTTGAATATATTTATTATCAGAATTTTATTCTTTAATAACAATTTGGGGGAACACTTTGAACCGATCGAATTTCTTCGCGTGAAATGACCGCTTCTGAAGAATCCTCGCGGACTTATAACACCTTGACATTGCTCCCCCCCCCTGAGCGTCCACCCCCCGTTAGAATGCCGAGGGCATATCTGACAAAGAAAGAAGAAAGAAGAGAGTAGGAGAAATGTGTAAAGGTGAGAAAGAGAGATAAAGGAAGAAAGAAAGAAAGAAAGAAAGAAAGAAAGAAAATCTTTACCGTGAATTCTAGCTTTCCTCGGAAATCGTATAATTGTTTTTCTTTTTTTTACTTACATTAAACGTTTTTTGTTTGTCTTCCAAATCATTTACCACAACTCAAGACATCACTCTTAACGCGTTTATACAGATAGGTCGCAAAAATGGTCTGAGAAAAATTAGTTTAAAATCAATTTTTAAATACGTAAAGCAAACGAGAAAATGAAAGGAAGAATAAAAGAATTGTCACAAGATGAATAGAAAAATAATTGATATCTTTTTTTTGTGTTCCTTTTTGAGGACAAATTTTGGATCTTTAATAATAACAGAGAATTTTCATTTTGTGTTTGTTTTTTTTTTTCTTTTATAGTAAATAAATATAAAAAGAAAATAAAATATGTAAACGGGTGATTAAATTTCTGAAATATACAGGTATGTGTCACGGTGTCTAAAATAAATATAAATCAAATAAAACCAGGAGAGAGATTCTCCAGGCTTGATGGCTGAGGCATCAAACAGATTAACAGTAAACACCATAACCGGTTTTAAATTTGGAAGTCACATTTCGCGTTAAATATTATTCTAGTTTTCTTCATTTCATTTTAGTCAATATATATTGTTTTAGTTATAATATTATATTCTTCAATTTATGTTATATCCTTTTATTGTTTTAATTCATTTACAATAAAAAATTATTATAATATGTATACTCTTGTTATAACAAAAGAGTGCACGAGAAAATTTCAACAATTAATTTCAATTAAACAAATGCTCAATTACTGAATAATATTATTTTCAAGTATAGTATTAATGTATGTAGTTTCATTATTTTACATTCAATATTATTTCAGTTGATTTAATAACACCCCCAACTCGTGTATTTTAGAAAAACATTTCTCGTTGAAGAGTCATCTTTTATTTTGTGATTTACATTTTTTTTAAACCATCGTAAAATGATTTCACAAGCTTAACGACCGATAATATATATACTACAACAACCTATTTTAATTGACACGGTAATTTATGTTACGACTTGTGTTAGTGAAAGTGTGTTATTAGAAAGATGTGTATACACCTGCATTCATTTCAAGATCAACTATTTGCAATTATTATTACGTTTTTTTTTAGGTTATTTTATTGAGTCATTTATTTCTATTTTTTTTTTTTGTTTTTTTTTTTTCATTTTGATACTCGATCTAACGTAATTTTTAATACTTAATAATTAATATTTATTTGCAATAAATAATTCGCACAAAATGATCGACATTAATAAGAAATAATTCACACGATAATCATATAGTAAAATATATATATATATGATCGTTTTTTTTTCTCATCATTGAAATAAGTATACTGATCGAGACGATAATTTCATAAAAAAAAAACAACCTAGTTAACGATAATTAAAACCATATACATATGCATAGATACACATACATTGACGAATTATCAGATGTTTAACAAAACTTTCTTTTTCTCATCGAGAAATGTTAAATGTAGAACGAGAGATTAAAAGAAAAAAATAATATCAGCAAATAATATAAGATTTGCAGTTTGTAATAGGAAAAAAATTTCGTACACGGGCTTGAAAAAAAAAATAATATAATAGATTCGAAAAACGTAGTTGTGACGTAAATTGTTAATGATTTTCTAGACACGTTTGATATGGTGTGGTAGAGGAATGAGGGTTCTTTTCTGATACAACAAGCCATAAAAAAAAATATTAACTAGACAATGCTATGAAAGAAAGCTAGCACGTACAAAAGACGTCAGGATGAAAGACGTCATCGAAAAAAAAAATAAAAAGGAAAAAAAAAATATATGAAACAGTATCTAACTGTCATGATTTTAAATGTATGTTAAGCACCGTTAATCGGTTCAAATTTCTCGCAACTACGTGATTCAAATTTATTTCCCAATTAATATCTTCGATGTACTGCGAATACATTTGTTTTGGGATCTTTCAAATATTCATCTTTTTTTTTTTTTGCAGTAAAATTTTTAATTAATTAATAACACGCTTAAAAAATTGTTAACACGATATATATATATATATAGAGAAAAATTGTTTTATTATATTATAAGTAAATATTATTGGGTTATTTTTTGTCGAAAGATACTCAAGTAAAATTTCTTAATGCTTAATTTGCGTTTCGACTTATCGAACATGCGAGGAGACAACTTAAGAAAAGATCTGGTTTCTTAGCTTGTAAGAATGTCAGGTCAATAACCGAATAACTTTTCAAGGTAAACCACTATAGCTTCTAGATATAATTTTATCAAGACAGATGAAGATTTTTCACAACAGTATCACAAATATCAATAAACATGATATCTAGAATTTTTATAAATATTTAAAAATCTTTTTTAACACACTATAATTAGAAAATTCTGAATAAATAAAAATATGACTCACTTTTATTTATATTCACACATATCTATTTGCGTAGAAAATTTTATATATAATAAAAATAGTTTTGTTACAGATAAAAAAAGAAAACGAAAAGATTGAATTAGCTTGTTAACAAAATTCAAATAATTAAATCCAATTAACGTTAAATCTGTCAAAAGTTTGCACATACCGAGTATTTAATTAATTAATAACAGAGGTTTGAAGCTTAAATATAATAATAAAAGTGTTCCATTTTTCAATAAAGAAAACTAATTAATTTTATTTGAACATATTTATATACGAAATTATTGAAGATAAAGAAATAATTGTGAATAGAAGAAAAAATGAAAGAAAATATTGCATTTGTTTGTCAAAATTAATTAAATATTTAAATAAACGAATACTTATATTTATTATTTATTGTTAGTGGAGAGAGAGAGAGAATTTATAAAATACGATGATTTGCAATTATATATAATATATTTAAGATAAAAAAAAAGAATAAAAAAAAAATAAAGAGTACGTGATAAAAAATAAATAAGTAAAAAAAAGAACAAAAAAACTGGCACTGACGTCAAGTATTATAATGACAATAAGTATTAAAACGTTTTTATTAGCTACGATTTTAATTATCCATGAGTGCTAATAGTAGACTTCTCGTATTTATTATTGAAACAAAATATATAAACAATAATATTATAAATAAATTAATTATAATATTTTTTTTTTTAAATCTAGGGGAAAATATCAATTGGGTTTTTTTCTTTTTTCTTATTTAAGTAATATCCTTTTATTATTCTCAGTAATATTCTTTTTTGATTCAAATACGAATAGGTTTAGGTTTAATGATTTTTTCAAATGGGAAATTTCTGAATGCCTTATCAAATATTTCAGTAAATGCAGTCGATACTAATTCATTAATAATTCCTCTAGTTAATACGAATCCTGGTTGCCAAGCCCCATTAATTATTTTATCGAGTACACCTTCGAGTATTTCTCGTCCATGAAAAAGATTCGTAATGTGAAGTTTCAAATCTCTTATAGTCTGTACATTGATGTTTACGTTTATCTTCTGACCCAGAGATTTTGTAATAGTCGTTGTTTGGATTAAATCGTCTGTGAAAGAAAAAGAAAATAATCAAATAATTCTTTACTATTTTTATAGAATTAAAACAAGTTGAAAAAAATTCTATGACTGTTATATTAATTATTTTCTTACACAAAGTCAAAGTAAATTTTCCTTTGTTACTTATCGATGTTCCGAATAATCCAGCAAAAAATTCGTAATCACCGAATAATAATTTTTCCGGAAAACTTTGCGTATAAACGATCTGAAAAAAGATGAAAAATACACAATTTTAAAAAACAATAATATAATTTTAAAAATAATATAAAAATAATTTATTAGCTTTTTGTTTATTATAAATTAAATACTTTTGAATTATGTATATCGCTGACAAACTTGGTCACTTTGCTATTGGACCATCCACTCTCGGTAACATTTCTAAGCGTCAGAGTAAATCCAAAACTCGTAACCCCTCGTTTAACGGTAATCTCTCTTGCAAAAAATGGATCGAATGGTTCGACATTGTATTGTGGTAATCCAGTTTTGAAATATGGTCGAATAGCATTTAATGCTTCTCGTATGCAAACGTCAAAACCAGCTACGTTTGGATGACAGTTTTTGAAATGGTCATCTAAAAAAATAATGATTATATATATATGAATATTTATAGAATAAGCAAATAATACCTAATCCATTTATTAAAAGTCACTTTTTTTTTCACAAAACTTTCGAGAAAAATCTTTTTGTTTGCATTATAAACAAAATTCTGTTAATGTTGACATATTGATATATTATATTGATATTTTGAAAGAAAATAAATTGATTTTGGTAAAAGAATTTTTAGCACGCTTAATTTTTTTTTGTAATTTTTTCTTTTTTTATCTATCCTATACATGTATGCGTTACTTATATACCGATTGTCTTATTTCAATTAATATTTTATTTTTGTTTTATTTCTTTTTTTTTCCCCTCCCATATATTGTGAATATACAATTTATTAAATGTCAAAGTGCCATAAATTGAAATGTTAATAAAAAGGTACACTGTAGGTGTCAGTTGGATTTGTATTAATATTGTTTACACAACTTTTATCGAGATTTGAATATTGATTTTTATTTTGAACAAAATTCTTATTACAAACGATTAAAAATATTGATAGAAATTGTTTTTTTTTCTTATTATCTCTTATCTTTTTTACGTTTTCTTTAACCTAATTTTTCGAATATAAGACTCGGTCATGAAATAAATTTTGTTCATATTAATAATAAAAGAAACGATAAAAATGCAACGAATTTTCGAAAGTAACCCGAAGATTATCCACGAATATATTCGATGAATATTTTTATAAAAATGTTTATTTCTTTTACAAAAATACAAAATACTCCCCCAAAAAAACTCTATTCAGTGAAAATATAATAATTATTATTTTTCAATTATTAAAAATGATCAAAATGTTACACAAAATGTAATTTATTGTACACGCGTACGAATTCTTGTAAAAGAAATCTGCTATTCGTGTCGTTATTGTAAATAATTTCGCAATTTTACTTACATACGATAAGTAAGCTTATATATGGTTATGCGTACGCGTATAGTTACTTTCGAACTTATTCATCATATTATCGGAATAATTAATGAATTATTGTTACACAACCAACACCTTTTAAAAAATTATTTATATTATATTATATTACACTTCCTTCTTTTTTTTATTAACATTTAATTATATTTAACAATTTAGAGAGAGAGAATGTTAAATAATCATTTATATTTAATACAATATTTAATCCATTAGCATAATAATATTTTTGTTTTACATTTTTATAAATTGATATAACTTACATCGTGTTAAAATATATCTTTCTGTTTTAATACAAAAATTTGCGAAGTATCAATTGCGTTTCTATGTACAATTACAAATTGAGTAACAAAAATTGTTCAAAACGAAAGGTCATGGGAGAACTTATCAAATTAAAATCAAATGAGCCTTGTGATAAGAGAATTGAACAACAAATTTTATTCCAAAAATTCATTAAATTAAAACAAATGATTCATTATAAATAATTCATTTCTTATGTTTTACTTACCAAAATTGGAAGAAGCAAATCCACAGGAAATAAAATATACTGCGTAAACTATTATACACTTTTTCATAATGACGATCACCGTTCGATTAATTTCCAAATTAATAAAAATATAAGAAGATAGTTATATGAATCACCTTGACGAGAGAGGAATAAACCCGAAATGAGACTAAAACCGGGTAGGATGTTAAAAAAAACCGCGATCGAAGCGCCTTCAGAAGACACTTAAATCCAAATCAGATGAAATCCAATCTTGAACCAGATACAACAAAGAATTCGTAATTGATGGTAAATTTTGAATAATTGTTCTTGATTGGTTCAATGAAGTAATAATATAATTTTCTAAATTTCTTAAATATATCGAAACAAATATTAATAATGTCATAATAGATTTTACTATAGAGAATAAAAAAGAAATTATAGAGAAAATAATTGACGTTAAAATTTTTTTACGATTTTAAAATAAAATAAAATTGACGATAATTATTTGTTTAAATAACTAACGATAATAACACACACACATAAGGAATAATTCAATATATAAATAAGCAAATTACATACGTTTGGACAATGATTAATAAATCTTGCAATACTCCTCTAATGTTTCGCTCAGTCACATACACTCATATACATATATCTATCCATAGATAACTATTATATAGTTACTGCAAAACTTAACGTCAATACTTTTAGAAAATAAACGAATTACTATGTGATATACCCGTTGTATTCGAGCATACGCGAACACTCCTTACACTTTCACTCTCAACAGTACATCTGAGAATCGGCTTAACGTCCCATACTTTCCTGTAACATTTTCGGTCGATGTTATATAATTATTACGCTGGGAAGATCGGTTGGATTTTAACGCTCGATTTTAATATCACGATATAACTTTTCATGAAGCAACTTATTTTCACACATGTGTGTAACCCATTTGTATCCAAGCGCGAATATATCCACGAACTGCGATTGTCTGCTATCACCAAATGCAAATTATTCCGAATAAGAAGCATTAGTTTGTTTATCTGTGAGAATTTGATCGGTTATATAGGTCAGTCGACAATTGAACGTCGTTGATGTTTGAGTAAGAAAGCTATAGTAAACGCATAATGCAAATGGGTTAAACAAGTTTTAATTATATAATAAGTAAGCTCCGTGTGAAACATCAACGTCATTTTGTTCCGTTTTTATTTTCTCTTTTTTCTTGTTTTATTTATAACGTGTTCACATATATTTTTTTTCTCCCTTCCACTCATTCTTTTCTCCATCCTTCATTCCTTATCTATCTTTCCAAATCTTTTCTTTCTGTTTTAATGATCCTTTCAATTGGACGTTGTAATATATAAATCCCCTTGTTGAACGTTCCGTCATTTTGTATTTCTTAAAATCCTTGAAAAAAGAACATCAATATAAATCTATTTGAAGTATTATATTTATTAATTAAATGTGCAATAATATTATTCAAATATATTATTTGGTCAAATTATTTTTATCAAGATATCTTTTGTAAGGATAATTTACTCCTATAAGAAGGCAAACCGTTATACACCGTTGTCATTTTCTCTTATTATTAATTTATATTTTCGTTTTTTTTTTCTGTTTTAATAATTTCATCGATTTCATTAATGAAATTAATAATTTATTCATATCTATTATTTGTTGATATTATATATCGGGATCTTTTGTAATGACGATCTCTTTACCCCTGTACGAAGACAACTCAGTATGCATCATCATCATTCTCCATTTCCTAAACCTTTCGTCCTTTCTCTTTTTCAATACTTCTAGTTCTATCAATATAAATTCACACGCGTTTCTCTCTCGTAATATTCTATTCATTAAATTTATTTTTATCATTTTTTTCTTGTTAAACAAATAAATAAATAAATTTGATATCTATATTCACTCATTAATTATATTAATTTTATGAACCTGTTTGTTCATTCGTATACATTATTTGTAAAAATTCTATCTATATCCAAATATGTTAAAGAAAATTAGTTGTGCCCCTTGTGTGAATGCAACCCAGTTATACACCCTTGTCATTAAGTGAAATCATTCATCAGGCTGAAACTAATGTTTTAGAGTAAGAGAGAAAGAATGAAACAGAGATAGAGAAAGAAAGAGAGAGAGAGAGATATATATAGAAGAGATAAATGAATCTGTGTCAAAGTTTTTGAAATAAAAACGTAATTACATTCGTGACTGTTTCATGGATTTAACAATCCTAGGAACTCTCACATCAAGAGTTTCGTTTTATCGTAGAACAAGAAGACATAAATGGAGAATGTTGAAAAACCAGTCTAAACGAATCTGGGACAAGTTCGATTTTCATTTCGACAAACAAAATAATTTCTCTATTTAACAATATATTTTTCGATATTTACGTTATATCAAATGTTTAAATAATTTTTATTATATATTTTATTAACGAAAAAAAAAGAAAAATATTATCGACGAAAAAAAGTTATCTCATCTATCAAAATATCATAGTATTTTATGCTATCATATTTCTAAGAATTATTATCGTTAATGTTAATGAAGTATTTTCAAATCTTTTTTATTATCCTTTATTTGATGTTTATATTTTTTCCTTAATCATCTTCTACGTAATATTACATAATATTATCGATCAAGTTCCATCAAGACATCTTAAAACATTCAAATATACTTGTAATTATTATTTATTGATCAATCCACTATTTTTAATATTTTATTTATATANTTCATTTAAATAAAAGTACTAAGCTCATCAAATCTCGTTATATTTGAATAAAAGTATTACACAAATTATATTTTTTTTTTTTAAATTAAAATATTTTAACAATTTCTATTGAAAATTATTCATAAACAAATGTTTCTTCTTCATCTTTCTTAGTCGATGATTTAACATTTTTATTATTTTTTTCTCTCCTATTTTTAAACTCAAGGCCATTGTATTCAATGATGTATTTATTTTTCGTATTTCTTGCATTTAAGCAAAAAACATATATTTTAAAAATTAATCATTCAATTCTCGAAAAATGCGCATGCGCACATGCTAATTTTATTATTTTCAATGTCAAATAAAAGTATAAAGTTGTATGTGATCTCTTGGACATATGAAATTTCCGAGAGTTATATCTTAACATTCACACAGTTCGACAGTGAATACTAGTTACGCACAAATTTATTTTCTACACCTTTCATCTTTTCGCCATTTCATTATTTAAATAATGTGTTAAATATTTTAATTATTTTTCTACAAATTATACGCGAATTTTAATATCTTACACAAATTTATCATTCATTATTAATATTAATTTTATTATTAACATCGCGCGAGATATGATTATTTATTGTTATTTAAAATTTTACATTGCAACGGTGTTAAAATAGATTTTCGATTCAATTTCTTTCCGTTAATCGTTGTTGTTTCTTTAAATATTTCTTCGTTCCTTCTGATATTTTCAGTGGATATTATTTCTCTCTTGATTACGTTTACAAATATTCTGCAATAAGCGAGTAAGAAAGAATTAGAGACAAAAAGTAATTCGTTGTTTTCTTTTTTCTCTTTTTAATTTTTTTCCTCTTTTTTTTTTCTTTCTTTCTTTTTTTTTTTTCTAGTAGACGAAAGAGGCGCAGGTGCGTGTTGCAGCAGTGAAAGTATCCGAGTGCAGCAACGATCTAGCATCTGTCAATGCCCTCTTGCATATACAGTCTTAGTTTAGCGGTGCCATTTAGTAGGTATCCGCGATTTGTGAGATACTCGTCGAAAGAGACAACGAAATAATAATCAAGCAACATAATCATCGTCATTATTATAATTATCATTATAATTATTATCACCATATCATTATAATCATCATCATCATCATCATCATCATTATCTTCGTATACATCGTCGTCATTGTGAAAAGAAAATTTCAACTTTCATTTCGGGGGTGTAAAAATTTCCAGCAAATATTTTATTAACGATCGTATTTAATATTTTAAACAATTGTTACCATATTATTTTTCTCGCTAGAAAAATAAATATATAAGAAGGTTTCAAGATGTCGATAAAAAATCAATTAATAGGATTGCTATTCATTGTGTATAGTATGACAACATTATCGTTGGAATCTAACCGTAAGTAATTTGATCGACTATCGTAATTTGACCAACGAGTTAACATTAACTTCCGCGTGGACACGATTGAAAAGTACGCTGTATGTTTCGTTTAAGGAAAATCGGTGAAAGTTCAAATCAACGGAGTTATAGAAAGAGAGAGATAGATAGAGTCTTGAGAATTTAGCTTATAAATCATGGCTCACATATTATTTCTTTTCATGAGTTATATGAACATTGATTATTCATTTTATTGTGACTTTATATTAAATATCATTAATATTTTCTAAATATTTTAATATAACAACTAAAATTACATATTATTATTTACAATTAATGTTATATTAATGATATTATATTAAAAATAAATAAATCTAGAGATAAGATTAATAAATGAATTATAAAAATTACACGATATTATAGATGAAATTAAAAAAAGAAAAAAAAAAGAAAAAAAAAACAAATATTCCAAATGGATTAAACGATTTATTATAACATTCTTTTTTTTCCATTGCACAATTTTAATATGAATAAAAGAAGAATATTTATGTTTTCTAGCCGAATACGTGAAGCAATGTTCTAGTAATGATCCTAATTTAAAAAGTTGCCTGATCGATTCTCTTCATCATCTCAAACCATACTTGAAAGATGGCATACCAGAAATTGAGTTACCTCCTATAGAACCCTTTCGTGTAAGTATTAAAAAAAAAGTAACACATGATTTTTTTTTGTTTATTTTCCAACTAAATAAAAATCTTATTATCTCTATTTGAATTTTGCACAAAGATAAATGAATAAAGATTTTATTTTGATATATGCAACGATGTATGAATAATACGCCGAACTTAAATAAAAAAAAAAATTCAATTAATATTTTAAGCATTTTTTAAAACATTGTAAAAAACTTTGTAAGTTGTGCAATAAAAACCTGATTATATATATATA